TATTATTTAGGATTTAGATACACCTCTCATTTACCTTCTTATCTTCTTAAGGCATTTATATCTTCTCTCTTTAGTATTATTTCACTTGTATTTTTGGAGTGAAATAAAATATTGGTTGTGTCCGAGGAAGTAGGCAAAATTGGCGAACCTCATAAATTCTGGTGTTCCTTTTATTGTTGCTTTATTGTCTTATTTATTATTTGGTGGCTGTCATAATTTTTGGTATAGTAGTTGTGACTCATTCACACTATATACATTTGGCTTCCGCAACACCAATTGTGTGATATGCCTGGAAGTTCCACTTGGACTGGAATATTGATGTATGTGCTTTTGCATCACCTTCTCTTGAGTTCCTACAAACTCTAGCAATGGTAGCTTTCTGGCAACTTCTTGTTTGAGAAAATGCACCCCAATATTTAATAAGTCATAGTTCCTGTACATCCTAGGAATTTTATCTGATAAGATTCTCGTGGATAATGCTAGAGTAACAACAATGATGCATGGTAGATGTATCTGATAAGATTTCCAAAGATAAAGGCTAGAGTGACGATAATGATGCATGGTTAATGTATCCTCAGTCAGATGACTTCCCTTGTCTAGCCCATAAGTGATTTAGCAAAAATGGTCACATTGCACCTAATACGGGTTCATTCATGTTCTAATTGCAATAGTACGAAGATGCATATGGTTTATGGTGCCATTTATCTTTAAATTAGCTCATTGTGCCAAAAATGCAGCAATGTAAAGATGCTCATTAAGGCAAAATGAATATTTGATCAAGAATGGTAATCCAATATTTTTTTTTGTGTTTGGTCTTTTTGGGTGAAAAAGGGGACATAGGTTATTGTTTCTTTGTTGTTGGACTAATAAGTTCTTTTTGCATATATGCCCGTAGTATTGTGCTCACTATGTAACACATTTTTTCTATTCGTGGGGCTCTAGTTCATCAATAAAATTAACAGAAGTGCAAGTTTCATCATCCTGTGTCATTCATAGATGACCTAGTAGGTGGCTTAGCGAATTTTACTTCTGAGGTAGGGGTTTGAAGTTGGGCTTAATACACTACAGTACACCGATGAGAGAATGTCAAGGAGTGTGACAGAAGCGAGCAAAATGTTGTACCTGGGCTTGAGTTATTTAGCCTATTAAGGATGTAATTAACCATTTTGTCATTGTTGAAGCTTGCTTGCGTTTGACCGGGTTTCTTTAGTTTCTGGAATGCTGTAGGTGCAGCAGTCTTGCTCGTGTTGTATTAACGTATGTGTTTTACTACAGATGGTGGATATGAAGTTTATCCGGTGGACATGCTGGCATGGGAAGGAAGAGAGTGGAATATATAGTTAACCAAGTCGATTGAAAATTTTGGGTCCCAAACCAGCTGAAGTTTGATCCAATTGTAATTCATATCTCTGTGCAGTCTTTCCCGGTGACATGTTTCTCTGTATTATATTTTAATTCTTCTCAGCTGTCCTCTCTTCCTGCGAGGTCTTTGTAAATATATATCTCGGTCTTTTATCTTACATAGTAATACATTCAAGTTAAACATGGTCTATCCTCATTGTATTTGATTGATAGTTCGAGGCTTAGATTAGCAATAGTAGAGTGCCGTTGGCTTCACCTTTTAATGTGGGCGAGAATGACTGCTAATATGTGTACTGCGGCAGAAAATCATATCCTTGGTGAATTAGGATTTCGGTGTTACGTCATTTTTTTTTTTTTGTAAATTCTTTCTCTAGCAAAAGTATTTCTCAAAGTGAGGAGAGAATGACTACTTGTGAGTTATTTCCTTTGGATGAGAGGAAGTTTAGTGCATTTCTTTTGCCTGCCCTTCCTTGAACTGACGAATGAATATACGAGGGTTTGTCATGTTAAATATAGTAGTAAAAGATCTTTTGAAGCTCAGAAACTGAAAAAGTAAAACAAACTCCTCCGACCATAGACGTTATTCCCTTCTACATTTTTTCCGTGTTGCAGTTGAACTCATTAACTTTATCACTCGGCGGAGTCTAGTTCTTTAATTGATCATTCACTCAAGTGCGTTTGACGGTGACATGGAAACTTCTAGAAATAATGTACGCATGAATTTTTGTAAGTGATGTCGAAATTTATAGAAGAACTGAATTATAACTTTGGTTATCATACTTTTAGACAAAAAATAGCCTTAGTCTATTGGTATGTTGAGTCTTAAGTTAAAAAAGATGCTGAGTTTAATTTTAATTCATCACAATTTTCAACCAAAAAGGCTCTTTCAAATATTTGCAAAAGAAAAAAAAGTGCTAGCTAAGGTTTGAACCTTTGACCTCTTATATAAAATCAAGCACATAACCAACTCATCAAGACACAATTTATGTCAAGTGATGTCATTTGTTTCTAGTTATCCGTTTTCGACAGTATTAATATATATATTTATAAATTTTCTGACGAAGCGGTGTTGCGTGACACCGTTTCGGTTGCATCCGCCCTGACTAGAATGACCAAGGACTAATCGATTGATTTGGTTTCATTTCATATCTTGTCTTGAAACAAAAAGTAAAGAATATAATTTCGTGTAAAGAAAATATAAATCTGAGAATTCGTAAGAATTTTATGTTGTGAATAGGACTTCCAATTAAGGATAAAAGACAAAAGAATTTAAATGGAAAAAAGTAGAATTAATATTGGCTTGATTGATTTGGGTTAGGAAAGTGATTTTTGACAATTAAAGCAGATGATTCCAAATGTATATAGTGTTGATGAATAAAATGGTTTCCAAACGTGATGACCAGACACTAATTATGATTAGGAGGACTTGTTTAGTTCAAGTATAATTAGTTAAATTGCAAGAGAATAATACAAACCTAATAATCTTGAACTTACATAGGAAGGCACATCTAACTTTTGACGCAACTTTACCAAATTTATTCGAAACATCTAGGAATTGCAGAGACATGTCATATATTGCATAAATCAAATGAAACTGGTTTTGACAGATCTGATAGATTAATTGTCTAATTTTGGTATGTAATGACTAATGACATTTTGCTGTTTTAAGATGGTAGCCGCGTCTTGACAGCGTTTGTAAGAGTTTTGACATTTTATTGTCTGTTTCTCTTTGTTTTCTCTACGTGTGGACCATTTACTATCTTGCTAAATGCTAGAAAAAGAATCCTTTTTCCTCTTCCTTCTCTACCCGAGGCTGAAAATATAGGTTTAGTGAGTTCAACGAGCCTACATTTTCGATATATAAGTGTGTGTGAAAAGTATATAAAATCTCAAAACTATTTTAAGTTCTGAACTTATAATTCTAAACGAACAATGGGTTTAGCGTTAGAGCTGCAAAAGTTAAATTCATCATATTTTAATCCTAAATCCGTCTTTGTCACCCCACAACCCTTTTATCTATTTTCTTGGATTTAGAGTTGAAAAAATAAAGTAACTTGTTGAATCAAGAACACGTTTTGCTGAAATTATGTACGGTCTATTTAATGAAATTTTGTAGCCATATAAGTATGGGATTTACCATGCTACACTACGATCAGGTAATTCAAAATACTAGAGACTTTTTTGGAAAGTTTATCAGCAATAGTAAATACTTTTAATGTGAAAGCTTCTAAGAAGACAATTAGTATTTTACCATGTGAGCTTTCGAATGAAATCGTGTCATCGGTAATTTATATATTAATCAATTACAAATCATAATTAGAACTATAAATGGATCAAGAAAACTCTTTTTTCCCACCACTTAAGGCCAAAAGGATGGAGAAAAGAAGCAAACAAAAATTTCCTTTTCCTCAAATTGCTAGTCTCTGCATCAATCGTGTCCGGCATACCAAAATTAATACACAATTTGCATACATTAATATTGGTTATCAACTTTAATTTGTTTAATAAAGTATGATATATGTCAAAATCAACTTTATTAGTCTTGGACTTTTATTCCTTCTCTCATCATTTCCTAGTCAAGTCTTCTTAATTTAAAAAAATTAGAACGAGTGAACAATGAAAGAATGTCCACTCAAATACATTTTAAATTCTAAACATACAAATAAATAATGTAGCTACGTGCCCCACGGTTCTTTTTCAGCAACTAATCGGTCGCAAATTACAATATATATTACGTACTTGTCACTCACGGGCCCCTTGAAAATGATATAATGATTCATTTCAATACTCATACGCAATTCTAAGAAACAAAGTATTAAAAAGGTGAAAAAAAAGAGATAAACTTTCTCCTTCTATTATGTGATTGATCTTTTTCTTTTCTTGTGTGGCAGACAATACCCTTCAAGACCCCATTCCCCCACCCCACCCC